TACGATTTTCTTCGAATAAATTTCATTGTTTTATACAATGTATGTATATATTCTATATAAATCAACCCTCTAAGACTGGTAAACTTTCAATACCAATGAAGACCGTGTGTATATATTTACATTTATTTATCTATTCATTCTTATTAAATCTTATTTATACATATTTATATACTAGAAAAAAAGTAGGAATATCCTTACCAAAAGCACATGTGCTTTTTATATTGCAGAGCGTCATCTAGTGGAATAGAAATCAACTAATCATTGATTTAACCTGTTCCCTGATATTTGACCAACCCATTTGACCATTTGATAAATCAAGAAAAGCCATCCACGAACGCGTTTCGCGCTGTTGGCGCTCGTCAGCATAGAACAGGCTGTACAACTGCGTCCAAAAATATTTTTGGACCCAGAGGCTTCTTGAGAAACCAAGAAATGGGTATTTAAAGCCAAACTTGTGTAAATACGCTTAGCACATGAAAACAATAGATTTTTTTATATTTATATATGCATATAAATATTTGATATAACCATATACATTGCCTGATATGTAGAGATTGTAATGAAGTAGTTTTCAATCTCAATCTCTCTCGAACTGTTTTCTCCTCCCTCCAATGAAAAAGATGTGGTAAAATATATCATTACAAAAGTATAATAAATATAATGTATATATACTAGATGAGGCACTATTCCATTCAAACTGCCCATGTGAACGGTCAGACGGTCAGGATATGCCTTATACATATATATGTTTTAAAAATGATTTTTATTTAATTATACATTGCATATTCTGGACCAAACTACTCTGTAAAGTCGACCGCCAGATGTCGCGGCTTTCTCTATATAAACTCATTGCTGTTGTTTCCTGTTGGCCGGCTCAAATCCTTTCGTAAATATGCAAATACGTGATATTTTGTTCTCCTCATTCTACTCGCCTTATGTCAGGTATTTCCTTCTTCATTATTTTCATCACCTCATAATAAAAGCAAATTGTGATTTTTAGTTAATTATATAATATTTTCAAGATAACTGCATGGATAATTCTATAATATATTTTGTATCAACAATCAGCTTAATAACTCCTAATCTTAAAATTATAACATATATTTTAAGTAAAATATAAGGCATATCCTTATCGTGCAACTGAAAGTTGTTGATAACTTGCACGATAAGGAGATGCCTTTTTTTTTTCTTTCTTAATTTATGCACCTTATCCCAGTACAATATTTCATTTGTACTATTTTTCTCACATATATATATATTTTTCGTAATTTGCATAATATGCAAGAGGTATAATTTCTTTTCATCAAAATAAGCATGTTAAACTGTAAATATGTTAAGTTTGTGTTAAAATATAAATATGAAAATTCATCCATCTATAAAAACTACAAAAGTAAACGTGGCAGACATCGCGGGCGAATGCTACGGCACGTCGCGGGTTCGCTGTTCTCTTGGCTGGAACTATTTCTTGGGGATTGTAAGCATAACGGTTTCACCCTTCCATTTGATCACGACATATATATATATATGACATATCTATTAATATTTTCCAATATTTATAATAATATGAGTGATGTTTATATATGTTATAAATTATATGTATCTCGGTGAAAACAAACATTATAAATCTCGATCATACGTTATTTATTTCTTATGGTAATAGACGTAATGGAAGAAACAGCTATATATCATCTCGAGAAATCGACTACTTTCCTATGGCACTTTTCCAAAACATTTTAGTAAGCTTCACATTTCATATTCCAGCATGGAACGGAATTGTCATTTTGATCTCACATTGATTCACATATAACCATATGCGTTTATTGACCTAAGCATCAATCTATTGTGACGATAACAAAAGAATTGAATGCAAATCTATATCTTTCTTATTAATCGTTTGGCTGCCAAACGCCTATCGTTAGCTTGTGTACCTATATCTGATGCTTATTTTTAACCCAGATACCTCAATACCATTATAGTCAGAGTTTATTCAATATATCATAGACTATATATACATAATGCATAAGAAATGAAACCATTAAAGCAGGAATTGTGTATTTTACATATAAAACTAACTTCTATTGTCCTTCTGTGAATATATATGTAATTCTACTGTCCTAAAAGCTTATGTTCATAGTTTACTTAAATACGATTTTTAAAATATCACCCCACAATGTAGCATACTAGCCGAATGACCCGGGCAACGCCCGTGTTTTACCCGATTGAATGTTTTGATTCAAATACTATTTGTTACAATTATAAATTGGCGCCTTAAATATGTTAGTTAATAACTATAGCCTATGTGCTTTGTCTATGTACTGTTGGCTTCCGTAGGCGTCTCTTACTGGAAAAAAAGAAAGAGAGGTTTCCATTTGGTTATTATCTAATATATGTATTTATTTAGGGAGCGACCCGCTCCAACACAATAGTTACAAAGACGAAATAGCGAGTGGGGGGGCATGATGGGGGGGGGGGGGCAAAGGTGGCGTGACCGTAGCCAACCAATAGGAGGGCGCCATTCCAAAAAAAAAAAAAGCAAACGGTGACAGAGATGAAAACTGATGACTGATTGATTAGGAGATGAGGAATGACGCTCGTAACTGTATATAGAATATGAGCTGAATCGCCCAATACAGTATTACAGCTATAAGAAGCGGTCTGGTAGATTAAATCGGCGAAACTGCTGGAAAGGTTAACCAAGCCCTCCAAATATTTTCACCGCATTATAGAGAATATACGTATTTTTAATGTGTAAAGGAAATATTCGTGTTTAATGCTTTCATTTCTTACTATTTCTTACAAATAAATTTACTGGCAATGCGATTCTTTTATATATCATCAAATATTATCTCTACAGACCTTACTGCAATGATATGAGTTATTGAATGAGAGGGCTTGGCTCATCAGTAGTAAACCCTCTCAGCGGTTTCGCCATAGTTCACTAAACACCTCTAAGTGCCTTCCATAGAAAATACAGGGTATACTCCAAACCAATCCAATACAATAGTAGAGCGGTCTAGATATTAATTTGGCGAAACCGCTGAGAGGGTTCACTACTGATGAGCCAAGCCCTATCATTCAATAACTCATATCATTACAGTAAGGTCTGTAGAGATAATATTTGATGATATTTAAAACAAACGCATTGACAGTAAATTTATTTGTGTAAAATTTTAACGATAGATTTCTTACTATACTAAAAAAAAGGTATCTCTATGGGTTATTCACAACAAGCATGATAAGGGGGGGAGGAGGAGGGGGGGGGGGTTACAACGCTTATTTCTAATCTTGATATTATATATAGTTGAATGTAATGCATATTGAGCCAGAAGAGAATAAATGTTGAATCTTAGATCACACTTAGGCGTGTTATAAGCTCCTGAGGATAGAATCACAATCATGCACAAGCATCATCAGTACAGGGGGGGGGGGGCTTCAATGTCATAATATATTACGAGATGGCCAAAACCCGAAACTATGGTATACAGGTTAACTTTTTGTCTGAATTTGTCAAAACAGGTGCTGTGTATTATTCTTTAATATTACGAGTAAAGGTTTTTTACTAGGGTTTGGCAATAGTACCATCGTTCTGATGAACTTTTAAAGAGAGAGGTTCCTCTTTTGGTATATGAAAATCATTCTCGCGAAACTTTATATTGTACTAGCCGAATGACCCGGGCAACGCCCGGGTTTTACCCGATTATATGTTTTTATTTAAATACTATTCGTTACAATTATAAATTGGCGGCGTGGATGTCACTCTTGTGAAACGTCCCGCTCCAAACTTTGTGTCCGAGAAGCGATATTTTTATAGAAAGATGATATAGTCCGCGTAAAAAAAAAGTTCTTCAAATGAATAAAAGAAATAGCCAAAAATACTAATCAAAATGCAGCCGAAAATTTTCCTCAGGTTTATAAAAAGTGACATGCAAAATTTGGTACCAATTGGTTCAGTAGTTTTTGAGTTTATCGCGAAACAGACAGACAGACAGAAATTGACATTTATATATATAGAGAAAAGCAAATATATTTTTATAATGCCAAATATTTGCTCAATTTGAATAAATCGAAGTATATATAGATACTGTAATATACCTCATAATAATATTATAATATACTCTGTTTAATTAATTTATTTTTGATTGTTTGGATTAGGCAGCACTGTAATTATTATTGTTGTTGTTATGAATATATTCAAAAGTATATATATATAACATTAGAAAGATATATAATTAAAATTTGTTTCTTAATTTGGTAAAGCATATTTATATATTTAATCAAAGGGACATCACAGATACAATACAATAAAATTCGATTTTCTTAAAAATAATAAAATAAATATAAAAATATACTATATATACATTTATCCTATAGATTTGATTTTTATAAAATTCAATAATTATTTAATGATTATATTCTAATTAGAATATAAATATAATAAATTATGTTCGTAAGAAAATATTTGAATAATCCATTCAAAGAAAAAGATAAAACGAAGGCCAGTAAAACACATCTTCTGCTATATTTATGAACCAATACGGGTGGCAATCAGAGAGGCAGTGTTACCTAATTCATAATCCACAAAAAGGACCATTACTCTGTTAGTAAATAATAAATGTCATTGTGTTGTTTGTTATCATCATCATCTCATAGACACAGATTTCTTCCCAAATATTTTCCCCTCTTCTTCTTCATTTGTCAAACCATTTCTTCCTTTAGAACATCTTTTAAATCTAAATATCTGGGTAATATGTGATTATCATTTTTGTATTATATATATAGTGGAAGTACTCTCTATCTCTTTCTGTTATGATTAGATGCTTATTTTGAGGAGATAAAAATAAATAAGAAAACTATTTATAATACAATATAATATAATGCGGCTTGTGATTGTAAAACGACATTTAAAATACTATCCCGCATGTGTTTCATTTCAACAATCACAAGCCGCATTATATTGTATTATAAATTACTTTATGTATTATTTACGAACGGAAAAATATGTCCAGGATAGCCTAGTGGACATGACATCTGCCCGGTAAACGGAACTGTAGGGTTCGATTCCCATCCCTGGACACTTTTATTTTTCCGTTTATGATTACTCTTCACAATTCACCCTTTCATACCTCATCCAAAAGGTTAGAAATAATAGTTATTTCTCCTTGATATGAATTTTAAATTTTCGTTGAAAAGAAACACATGCGGGATAGTATTTCAAATGTCGTTTTACAAGAAAACTATTGTAACATAGAAAATCAGGAAAGACAAACTTCAGGATGACACAGCAATTTATTTAAGGCAAGAATAAAATGAACATTTATAAGATATAAGATAAGCAATGAGGGAAATATAAAGAGAAGAAAAAATAAATAAATAATAAAATTTCAAAAATTAATAACTTGTACCTAAAATAAATACTTTGCTACAATATGTTTTAAATAAACGCGTTTTAATAACTTAATAAATGAAAAAATATATTTGATTTCACTAAGATAATATCAAGGTGTCAAATTTGATATTGTTAAACCAATTCTTTATATATGTATTTCATACATCTGTAAAACGACATTTAAAAATTATCCCGCAAGTGTTTCTTTTCAACGAAATATCAAAATTTATTTCAAGGAGAAATAACGATTATTTCTAACCTTATGGATGAGGTATGAAAAGATGAATTGTGAAGCGTAATGATAATTTTCAAATGTCGTTTTACAATCACAAGCCGTATTATATTATATTGTATTATAAATTTCATACATCTATAAGAGAAGATTTCCATATTTAATAATATATTAACTCTGAAGTTAAGTACCTTTAATATTCATACGCTCTAAAGACTATATTGTGATTTACGATTTATTATCAACAAAAGCATAACAACTTTAAACACAAGTTTAAAAGTATTAGACATGAGTGTGAACGATAGACAAATCTATTAAAAACCTATATTTTCATAATTATATATCCTTAATTACTATCATCATTGGTGATTTATTTCCCTAAACTATTTAGTTAATGACCTCAAAGAAAGAGTAACGGGTTAAAAATGACGAAGATCCCAAACACTTGACCAAGTTGGGGGGAAAGACTTAAAGAAGAAAAAACACCAAGCAATTACGCAAGAATCCTTAATTGCCCAAAAGTCTGAAACGTGTTCCGTAATTATAGGAAGAAGAAGGTATGGCAACTAATTATACATCAAATAAAGTATTGTGCAATATTTTCAATTAGTTCCTATCTGTTTTTAATTAGCCTAGGTCAATGGGTTTCATCCCAAACTTACTATCCCGGAATAATTTAATTTGGGTATCTAAGCTTAAACGCCTGAAAAATTTGCATGCTTAATGCCCTTTAAGGAAATTGGGCATTTACCTTAGATAATCGATAAGTTAGGTCAAACTAGAAATTTAAGATAAAGTAATTTATAATAAAATCTTTTTCCTTCATAATTTAATTTTACTTTTTTTTTACTTAGGTATAATGGATTTTTATGTTATTAATTAATATGGTGTTAGAATTTCAATTAATAATGATATCTAAATTCGAAGATGTCTGTTAATTTTTTGGAAATTGTTTTTACTGTTATTCTAGATTGAGAACTTTGTTTTGAATTTGTAGAAATGAAAATAGTTAATCTGTTTTGTTATGAATATATATTTATGTAGCGATTTGGTTAAGTAATTAATGATCATTTAACGCTTTAATAGAGCAAATCAGAATATATGTAATTCCCATTAATTTTTCCATTGCAGTAAGGACAGTAGAAATTGTGTATTTTAAAAAAGAATCATACACGTCTAAAATAGTTTCGAATTTTGATAACAGATGGCCAGCTAATGTATCATAATATACCAATTCACACTCATGGACAAAACTTAAGGAAGTTGTACCTTTTAGTATGTATATTGAGATTCAGACAATAACTCTGAAAGATATTTGATACACAGTGACATTTATTGAAGACACACTAGATAGCCAAGTGTGAACAAATTTCTTCTGTCTCCTTAAAAAAAATACAGACGATCGGCGACATGTAAATATAAAACTTCTTGAGTTTAGTCCCTAAGTATACTTTAAAACCTTTATCCAGTTAAATATTGTAACATAGTATTTATTAATTTTATTATTTTTTTATTAACAGAGTGGTCATTTTTATTTTTATATCTTGCGACTCTAAATTTCTCTCATGACTTATCTTTTGTTTACCATTCAGTTTGTTCTTGTCTGAAATAAATTGTTGTCTCCTCCTGAAGTTTTTGTTCCCTAATTTTCCACGTGGCATTTTGGTGGAGATGCTGGATAAGTTAGGGAAGACAAACTGAAGATCGCCGAGAAGACCTTGAAGTCAGGGGTGCTGTGATCTACATTTTCGGAGACTGACTCCAGGAATCCACCGCCGTGCTAAAGCCAAGACTTCCCTCGAAGATTACGATGTCTCTATAGACGATACGACGACAAAGCCGCTCTTCATGCCGCCAGAAAAAGGACGCAAAGGTACTAGGGACAAAGTTCCAAGACTTCGATGGAATCCTTGGCAGAAGCACGTCAGATCCATGTCAGTATCTACAATAATTTCTAGCTGTGGGTCACAGCTCCCATAGGGAAGAAGCTATGTAACCAAGTATTTATTAATTTTATTATTTTTATTAACAGAGTGGTCATTTTCATATTTATATTTTGCTACTCTGTAAATTCCCCTCGTTGCTTATCTTTTGTTTACCTTTCATAGTTTGTCCTTGCCTGAGATACATTTTGTTTCCTCCTGAAGTTTTTGTCTTCCCTAATTTTCCACGTGGCAATATTACTAAAATATATTGAAATGAAAATTCAATTATTAATTACATCAAAGCAATACTTTTCTTAGTGCTCGCAAATTCAGATTATTGAGTTAACTATAACACCAGTTTTGTCAAATTAAGACAAATGTCAACAACATGTATACGATGGTGTCGAGCTATTATCTTCAACAGTAAAAGGCAGGGCCTCAATTTCATAATCTACACCTAGGAGAGAAGTAATAGAATTGGTGGATTTACCAGAAAGGCGTTCAGGCTGGTAAAGTGACAGAGCCGATATTCAGACACGAATATAAATATAAAGTTGCGGAAGGATGATATTCATGTATAACAAAAGTTGTAATTCATTCTTTATCACGGCTAAAAAGTTCTTTACTGGGTAATAAACATAATGTGTTGTTTTGTTGAATAATTAAAGAAAGAGCTATACCTCTTTTGATACATGAAAACCGGTTCAAAATCACATTATTAGGTACCGCTCAACAAGAGCAACCTAGTTCATGATAATTAAACAGTGAATAATATGTGAAGGTTATTCAAATATTAAACATAATTTTAACGCGGGATTCAATCCCGGTTCATGACTGTCGGGAATCGAGGGTGCTACCCACTCGTCCACTGACTTTTTTTGTTATATCTCTTTTGATACATGAATACCATTCTCCCGCAAATTTATGTTATATAGAAATTGTATTTAATTTTAAAATTATAATTCCCAGATCCAATTACTCTGTTAAGTCTACTATCAGATGTCACGATTTTACCTTTATAAACCTATTGTTGTCGTTTCCTGTTGGCCGGCTCTAATATTTTTATACATATGTAAATAGGTAATCTTTTATTTTATTCTTTACGCCTCAAATCAGGTATATCTTCCTTATTTATTTCTAACAGCACAATTAAAGCAAATTGTGATTCAATCTATATTTTATTAATATCTTTTATACGGCTGCATAACAATATCTTAAATACTCAATTTTATATTTAATAAAAGGTAAATATTATAGAGAGAAATAACTATATTAATATATACATATTCATTTAGGAATTTAGGGATTGATATCCTATTTGTGAAACAATTATATATATATGTATATATGTTATATTAAAATATTATTCTCTTTAAAAAAATACTCTGCTAAATTGACCTCCAGAGGTCACGCTTACCCTAAAACTCATTTTTGCTGTTTCCCGCTGGTAGCCTCAAACCTTCTGTACATTATGTAAATAATCTTTTGTGTTCCTTGTTCTACTCGCCTTAAGCCAGGCTAAGATTTTACCAAATTATGTTTTCATATATACTTCTTTAGTTAAATTAAATCAATTTCTGATCAAAACGTTTTTCATTATTATTCTTTCAAGATTTTAACCACGACTGCATCACCATAGCATAATTGAAAAGACAAACATAATCAACAGAAATATTTTTTTAAAAATAAAATATATTATAATAATAGTAAAAATAATATAATAATAAACAACAACAACAACAACAAAGCCTTTATTTAGGGCCTCTCGCCCTATACAGGATTCGCCAGTTCACAAGGGATGGGGAGAACACTGTGTTCCGGGATATAATCCTGTGGAATATCGCCACCGCTATATACCTATTCTTTGATATTTCATTAATTAGTGCCGGAAATGAAGGACAAAGTTGCCCCGTTTTATCATTTAGTTTTCGTCTTTCCTCAGACAGAGCAGCACAGTCAAATAAATAGTGCAACATCTCCATTGTTTTTTCTGGTCTACAGAAAGTGCATTTCAGGAATAATATAATATATATATATATATCCACATTACGATATCTCTTGGCTCTCTCAAGACCATGCAGTCTAAGTTCATGTAGGAGAAGCATAAGCTCAGAAAGTAGAAGATGAGGTAATGTAATTTTAAGGTATTAAGAGTGAAGCAATTAGTTTCAGTGTGAATATCAGTGGTGATAAAGAAAATGTAAAAATAAAAGTGAAAATACTCTCTTTTGATAGCAAGAATTACCCATGTAACATCTAATTACACAAATCAGGATGTTATTGTAGCAAATGGAAATATATTTCGTTCGATTTTTCAATACGATCAATACACTTAGAGTGTATCAGATCCTGGTACCTTTGTAATGTTGCAGAATACAACGAGTTTTATTCATGTGTATCCATGTTTTTGCAGTAACTTTTATCTACACAATGTTGTTATGTCCACTAACGTAAAATATAAGTAGAAATTATGAATTTATTTATAGTATAGTAACTGCCTCAAAGGTTTATGTCCATAGTATTCTCACTCT